AGGCGCCGAGCCTCTATTTTTGTTCTTACAGTGACTGCCACCGGGTGCTCCACATTCCTCCACATCCCCCCAAGGCCTCAGTTGCACTGGCATAGTTTACTGCTAAAGTGAATCACCTTAAAAAGCCAGGCGACATCTTTTGAATTCTCATGCCTGCTATTCATGGGCTCTTCCCTGTTGCTCTAACATCATGAGTTAAACTCTTTTTGATATTTTCACTATACCTATCCCTAAGTTGTTTTCATGGCCAAAAGGAGAAAGCAAAATGTATCAGTCTTGATTAAATTAAAAATGAAAGTCCAGTGCAGTGGGTTCATGCTTGTAATCCTACTAGCACCCTGGGAGGCTGAGTCAAGTGGATAGCTTGAGCTCATGAGTTTGAGACCAGTCTGAGCAAGAGCAAGAGAAAGACCCTGACTCTACTAAAATTAGAAAAACCAAGACAAGAGTATCACTTGAGCCCAAGAGTTGGAGATACTGTGAGCTGATGATGATGCCATGGCACTCTACCCAGGGTGACAGCTTGAGATTCTGTCTCCGAAATAGAAAGATAGATAGATAGATAGACAGGCAGATAAATAAATAAATAGTGAATGGGTTCTGAATGATAGCCTAATGGATCTGCTACCAAAAAAGCTGGCTAGTAACTGCTTCATTTTTTTCATAGCTAACTGCATAAGAATCCTCCTGTTATAGATGTACTATTTATTAGAATAAAAAAGTACAATAAATGTTTTTTAGGAAGCTTACAAATGGTGTGATTTTCCTTTCATTTGTTGTGCTACCACAAAGTTAATGAAGGAATAAAATATTAGGAGAAAATCTAAACATAAAACATGTCGCTTTTATAATCAGTAAAAAACAAAGCTAAGAGAAAGATCTTTTCTTTCAGTTTTTGACAAGACCAGGCCCAATTTGAGTAAAAACTCAAAACAAAACTAAAAACAAACAAACAAACCCCTCTCCCACTTAGTTGAGTTGTGTAACAGATTTAAAAATACTTCAAAAATCATTATAATAATAATTCAATTAAAAATAAGATACAACTAGAGAAATCTGTTGTACCACATTTGATTATAAAATTGAAAGTTATGCCAGAATAATTTAATGAAACAATTTTACCTCTACAAAGAAATATCTGCAGTAAAAAGAAAAATATATCACACTTAAAAGAATGACAATGAATCAAGTATACCCTCACTACTATCTTTTATCTATTTACTTTCCTACACTGATTTCTAGTGCCCAGCACCCTTCATCAGCCTTGTTTAAATGACAATTTACCACACTACTCTGATTATAATTTGTATTTGCCTTTAAATCATAAGCTGTAGCCAAGAAGAAATTAGAGCCTACTGAAAATATAAGCCAACAGCTTGAAAATCTGACATAGTATCAATTTTTCTTTGAGTTTTCCTAATGGTTTCACCAGTACTATTTATCATTATAGGTTTTGCTTTTGTATTTTTTTTTTCTCTGAGACAGAATCTCACTTTGTCACCCTAGGTAGAGTGCTATGGCATCATAGTTCAGCAACCTCAAACTCTTGGGCCTATGCAGTCCTCTTGCCTCAGTCTGCCAAGTGGCTGGGACTACAGATGCCTGCTACAACGCCCAGCTATTTTTTCTTTTTCTTTTTCTTTTTAGTAGAGATGGGGTGTTGCTCTTGCTCAGTTGAACTCTTGAGCTCAAGCAATCCACTTGCCTCAGCCTCATTTTTGCAGAAGTATTTATCTATCCAGATAGAGCTTTAACACAAAATAAAGCAATAAGCTTTTGATAAATTTGCTAACGGGAGTATAATCAAATACAACAAAATAATGTAGTATGTATTCTAAAACTCAACAAAGTCCAGGCTGGACCAAAGTCTGTAATTTCCCTTAGCCAAAAGGATCCATTAAGAAGGCATCTAACGGCTTGGCGCCTATAGCTCAACCGGCTAAGGCGCCAGCCACGTACACCTAAGGTGGCGGGTTCAAATCCCCAGCCCAGACCCGCCAAACAACAATGACGGCTGCAACCAAAAAATAGCCGGGCGTTGTGGCGGGCGCCTGTGGTCCCAGCTACTTGGGAGGCGGAGGCAGGAGACTCGCTTGAGCCCAGGAGTTGGAGGTTGCTGTGAGCTATAATGCCATGGCACTCTACCCAGGGGGACAGCTTGAGGCTCTGTCTCAAAAAAAAAAAAAAAAGGCGGCATCTAACTAGTCACAACCTAATGCCTACCAGCTAAGGCAGCATCCTCTTCACTTTCTGAGCCATATTGAAGTGCCATGGTAATTGCTGATAAACGACCTCCTTGGACTGCTCTTTTATTACTACAAAGAAAAGTAAGCAATTAGAAGAAACGCAAAGATGTTTTAAAAATTATGCTACTCTACAGGAAATAGGAAGTATTAAAAAGCATTATTATCAAGGTAAAACAATTTCCATTCAAATGACTTCTCAGTTTACCTCTGTACTTCTTCATGTTTCTCATAATTAATCTTAGCAAAGAAAATAATTTTTTCTTTCAGTAAAAAGGGAGTGGCAGTTGAAAAGCTAGAGTGGGCTATTTGCAATTTGCTTTTAACTTAATTGTAGCACTACAATTTATTTTAGGGAAAATAAAAATTCACTTACAGTTGCCAATAATTCTAAGATTCTCATATTTTACAATGATACAAATTCTACTATGAACACAAAACCTATTAGTATTATAGTTAACTCCACATTTTACTGATAACTAACATTAAACACTACCTGACAAACAATGCTTCACCAGTGTCTATGAGGTGATATAAGTCTACTGCAGCACCTCAAACTTTTAAATACAGCATTTGATGACAAAATTTCATAATAATCCAACTATACTCAAAAATATTCCTTCAAGTAACTATCAAACACTAGTATATCTATCTCCGTAACCACAGGTTGGCTCTCGGATTAAACATCTTTCTCTCACCGGTAATACTTGCTACTGGGATTTCTTTCTTCACCAAGGCTGCCTTTACTATGTGAAGGACCTGTCAGCCTGGCTGTAGCCAAATTCGATGGAGTCCTATCCAGAGAAAAGATAAAAAAGCTCAGAAACTTGATAGCTGAAAACAGAATCTTTGGTAAATAAACAACAAAAAATGACAAACATTTTCTTCTTTACTAAGTAGAAATGCCAGCTAAAATATTTCTGAGCCTCTACTATGCAGCCAACTCTGCTCTAGCACCTGCGGGACTCTGCAAAGGAAAAGAGCCTGGGGCTGATCGTAGACAGCTTCTGGTCACTGCAGTGACCAGAGGACCTACCTGGTATTAAAACAAATGTCAGGGCCAAAAGAAATCTTTGAAAGTAGTCATCCAACATTACCATCTCAGGTAGTAAGAAACTAAGACTTGTTCAAAACCATAGTTCCAGTACAAGGAAAACCCAGCATGAGAGTTTAGATCTCCTGACTAAATACTTAGCCAAATACCCTTATTGCAAATATGAATATATACTATTATATACAAATACCACAATATTCCATATTTACTATTATGATATATATTACATACACATGTAGTCATACTTGTATAAACCAATAAAAGTATACAGCAATGTTAAGTCTTAAAAAGTATTTATTTTTAAATAAAGCCTTTCAGTTACAGTGAAGGGGCTGGGTAAGAATTGTCCCTACTATCTTTACAATCACATTATCAACTCTAAGTATAATCTTATTTATTTATTTATTTTTTTTAGAGAGAGAGTCTCACTTTGTCACCCTTGGTAGAGTGCCATGGTGTCACAGTTCACAGCAACCTCCATCTCTTGGGCTTAGGTGATTTTCTTGCCTCAGTCTCCCGAGTAGCTGGGACTACAGGCGCCTGCCACAATGCCCAGCTATTTTTTGGTTGCAGTTTGGCTGGGGCTGGGTTTGAACCCACCACCCTCGGTATACAGGGCCAGTGCCCTGCTCACTGAGCCACAGGTGCTGTCCTAAGTATAATCTTGAAAAGCAACATGTCAGTTTTTTTTTTTTTTTTTT